GGTAGGACCAAAGCGAAGAGTAGATAAAGGTTTCTTGTAAATCTTGGCTTTGCTCCATATCGTATAGCGCGTTTGAACTGCAGAAGGCTTGCTTTTTTATGTAGAAAATAGCAAAAGTGAACAGTGCGAAATAGCACACAACCACTCGTAATGACGCCATCACTTCATCTCTTTTCATATGCCTATCTAAACTGATGTAATAACTTTTGGTAGGTGCAAAAATATATATAAGCTTCCCAAAGTATTTATTCAGAGTATCATGGTTTGCTTTTGATAAACTGCCTGATAAGGTGAATGGAACAAGACTCATGATACAAGTGAATAATATGATTAGAAACATCATATATTTGAACTGGAGAGAAAGATATGAAGACATGATTGATCATCGCAGTTGTACACACAACTTAAGCAGTTGTGAAATTAAAGCATGAAAAAATTCAGGTTTAAATGTGATTCAAACCCATGCCCTCTGTGATACTGGTGAAGTGCTCTACCAACTGAGCCAACTAGCCAACTGGGAGCTGGTCACGTTGTGAGTTCATAATACACCTGTAGATGATGATGAATGCAAGTGAATATATGCTATGTCATATGTTTGAACTGTGAAGAAAGATATGAAGACATGATTGATCATTGTAGTTATGCATACAACTTAAGTAGTTGTGAAATTAAAGCCCGAAAAGAATTCAGGCTAGAACGGGATTCGAACCCATGACCTCTGCAATACCAGTGTGATACCGATATCTGATAAATATAAAAGAATCAACCAAAAATATTTTTTGGTAATGCCCAGTTTTATTGGGAAAACAAAGTTTAGACAGAATGTGTTATTAACCAACAGTGCATTATAATTGTGTTCTTTTTCATGATTAACAGATGGGTGCATATCATACAATAGACCTGGAATTGAATAGGAAATTTACTTTGATCAAAGAATATTGGGATATTATAGCTCTTGAAAGAGTGGGTAAGTTTAATTGAAAATCTAATTGATTTATTATAATAGTTACATGTACTTCGCTTATAGATAAAGCATTTACCCACCATCTCAAATGATAATTTAAATACAACTATATATGAAAATTGAGGTCACTGCTAAACTTTAACAGTCAGTCAGCAGTAAAAAGAGCAAATAAAACAAATTAAACAAAATGTTGTTTCTGAGATTCTGTCTTGTTAATAAATCTTGAAGCCACACACGCACAAACACTCGTCACACATATAATATTATGTATAGACACTTTCAAAAATTCAGACTGTGTGCCAAAACTGCTTTAATTTACATCTTATGGAAATGATTTTGAAATGGTCTTGGTCAAGGCAGTTTTGCTTTAAAATTTAGAAATGTTGCAAAGAAATGTTTTTTTAAAAATTAAAGTACTTAATGACTCCTTTGTGTGTTACTGCTACTCTTAGCAAATCAAATGTGAAAGATAATAGGAGTTTGTGGTAAATATTGTAGAAAATAATGTTTTGTGTGCCCTAGACATGGCTTGTGATCCAGCACAGCATGCAGATCTTGGAGCCATCTTACTTCATGAAGGTAGGTGTTACTATTTGAATTATGTTTAAAGTTACTCACACTCAATGATAGAAAGTTTTTTTTACAGTGCAACCCCACTTACTGAAGCCACCCAACAAGGTTTTCTAAAATTCACAATTACCCAATTGCAGTGCTAGATTTTGATTGATGGTCACCTTATTGTCAAAGATAAGTTTTGAGCATTTGTGATTTCTTTCCCAGAAATCTCTCAACAAGAAGTCGTTAAATTAAAAATGACTAATGTTGCATTCTATCAGAACTAAATGCCAAAGCCTCCATTGTTTACTCTCACAGTGTTGAGGTGAGCTTACCAAAATAATCTGGAAAAATAGCCACTGAATGATGTTCAAACCAAACAATGGTTGAAATATTAAATGTCACACTTAAATACAGGTTTCTTTGACATTTCATTTCAACATCTTTTATATAGGACCATAGAAGTTTTAGAGTCAGAAACTCAATACAAGAAACCTGTGGTTTTTGAGAATTAAAAAAAATAAAATATAAAAATAAAAACCCCCTTACATTACAATTGTTACACATTTTTTCTTCAGGCCTATGTCACATCTTTTTAGTCACTTCAAGTATGACAATTGTTAGAGCTAAAATTGATATGAATATTCCAAGGAAAAGAAAAGGATTCTGTAGTCAACATGATAAGGTCAGTTTCAGTTTCAGTTTATGATAAGATGTTTTCTTGTCTTAAGATGATGATTATAATGTAATTATGAATAATTTAAGTGTCACTGGTATAATAGCCAGCACTCATTATTGCCATATTTTTGTAGAAAATCAATTTTTATCTATATCAAAAAGGTTTCTAAATTATCACAAGGATAAAAGTAATGTTGATTATCCTATGATGTCTGTGATCCATTGAAGTTTTCTTAATTAATTTCTAGCTTGAAGATTATGATTGTCACTGGTATTAATAACATGCAAGATATTTTGTTGTTGAACAGGGGTTGCTTAGGTTTTATGATGCCATAATCCAGGGCATTCTCCGGCATTTTAATTTTGAGGGTAGGTATGCATGCTTGTATATAATATACATGTACAATAATATTGTGTAATATTGACTAGTGTAGCCTAAGGATGTAAAATTGCTGAGGTTATTGTGGTCTATTTTGCATGTCTGTTAACTTTGTATTGCAATACACTTTTTCCTGTCACCTCCCAGTAAGTAAAACATTTGCATATCTCCCACCTGTTTTGCATGCACACCACGCCATCTGCAGGTACATGTACACAATTGGATTTCAGTATAGTTTTTGACAAATAACACCTAGTTTTTCAGCTTCAAGATGTTAACAGTTACAGTAGTTAGCAATATGCTGCTATTCTGGTGTTCCTGTTTTAAGTACAGGTTTATTAAACTTGATTTGGTCACAACAGGAAAATTTTGTTTTCGTTTTAGTTGTGTACTTGGTAGCGTAGTTGATTGCATCAACGTCAACCCCAACGCACGTGTGGTAGTTAAACCGTGCCTTGCATGATGCGCAGAACGTGTGCGCACTAACAAAGCAAGGCACTGTCCTTAAACTGTTGCAGTTCTTTTGCATCACAATCGGGAAATCTATCCACCATTGTTTTAAAATTAGAAACAATAATATTTCAGTTACCATGGAAACTGGCCGTAATTTTTTAGGTATTTGAAATTGGGCTTAAATACTACTGGTCTTAGCCAATCACATTTTAGAAATTTCTTTGCCTGTGGTATAATAGTTTGAATACTTGAAAGCCTGTATGATTTAAATTCTCAAAATACTAAGTCTTCCAGAATTTAAGCCTGTCAGAGCCGCCACCGCCATGTGCTTTTTTCTGAATAACTTTTCTCACCTCAGCTGCTACACACTTGAATGGAGTAAAGTTTCAGTCCACATTATAGTGCAAGATCTAAAATATTTATGAATCAAGTTCTCAAAATGCATGTAGAATTTAAGTGCAAATGTGTGAAAGCCAGATGGATATGATTTAAGTTTTCAAAATGCTTGTAGAATTTCGGTGCAAATATGTGAAAACTTGTCAAAGCCACAGGGCTGCCAAAGTTAGAATATTATGCAGCCCACTGCTGGTGAAGAATACAAGTGAACATATGAAAGATCATATATTTGAACTGTGGAGAAAGATATGAAGACATGATTGATCATCGCAGTTATGCACACAACT